TTAAACCATGATATATGAGCACCCGTACAAGGAGTGTGTCGCGGCTCCGCGATGCGAGCGCTCCTAGAAGTAGGAGGCCGGGAGCACTGGTTGCTGCCGCGCTACACGGCGACGATAACGGCACTTTCTTACGTTCGCCGCAATCGTTGCTGGACCTCTCCTCGCCTTGGCGCGTTGCCAGCCAAAAGGCTATATATAGCGGCGGCGCCTCATTTCAGCGCCTGTCTGCTTTTCTGTCTTTCGTTTTCGATCGATAATCTTTTCGTATGTTTCCATTGTGCTCGTGCCTGGCACTTAGCTCCCGCTCTTGATGTCCCTTTCGCGTTAGCGGTCGAGCGGATAGAAAGTTGATCAGAATTCAAGTGGATTTGGGATTGTTTTAGACGAGCTACTTTTGCAGCTTTTAGGATTTGAGATCTTATAAACCTCGGGAGCGGAGAGGCTGTCGCGCCTGGTATCCGGCGACGCGCGGCGGATCTGTTTTGGTGAAGCCTCGGGAGCATATTTCTTATTTGTGTTTATAGTCGTGCGCATCGGTAGCACGGGATGGGGCAGCTCGTGCCGTGTTGAGCTTTATGTTTAGTAGTTTAGTCCTCAGCAGTAGTAGTAATCTGTCTTTAGTTTAGTGTTCTTTTTGTCTATTTTTAAGTGTAGTTTTGTGTCATAAGGATAAAACGTTAGTAATATAATTGTCTCTTCACGCGCTATGGCAAAATAATAGGCTAGGTCGCGTCGCATGTATTAAGCGGGCGAGCGCTTAGGTAACTCGGGTTAGATCTAGGTGCTTAGAGCCCACCGAGCCGCCACATGGTGCATCGTCGCCGAGCGCATGGTGGATGCGGTTTTCCGTCCGCGTGTAGTGTTGGGTAACCGCGTTGCTAAGCCGCGATGGGTAGGTAACATCTCAGCAGGTTTTCGCGCAGTAGTAGCGCAGTTCTAGCTTCCCATCCTCCATGCGTGCGTAACGATCCCGTAGTCTACCACGCTCCACACCTAGTTCAAGTCCAGGCAAGTAGAGGATAGGGCATGCGTTCAGTCGCGTCATCCATGTGTCAGGTAACCCATTAGCACTGCAGCCTTAAGCGTAGTCAGCGCGTGGGGTGACCTAGCAGTAGTTGGTGGCAGCAGCTTACAGCTATAAGCCCCTGAGCTCAGCGCGTTGTCTCGCGCAAGGACGGGTATGACAGTATACTCTTAGAAGCCTATCTGCGAGTGCGATATGGACTAGCTGTACGGAGACTCATCGCCGGGGGGCAATCGCCTGGGGGCATCGCCGGGGGGCACCAGGAGTCGCAGCGATTGCTATGTCGTCCTTTCAGGTAGTCTTTTCTGGTATGCAGCTGTTTGCTTTGCTTTTGCGTTATTCGCGCATCGCTACGGCATGCGATTCTGCCCTCGTTTGACAACCCTATTTCGCTCCTTACCTTTGCGCCTACTACGTACCCCTAGCGTGCTGGTTGTAGTATGTCCCTCTTTAGGGTTTTTAGATTAGGCTCCAGCCATTTGCGTATTTTTGCGCGTCATGTATCCGTCAATGCATGTATATTTCTGTTCCGCTGGTTCTTTACTTTCCAGAAACATTGCTCCTCGACAAGGTTCAGTTCGTTGAAAACCGAAGATTACGAAAGTGGACAGGCCAACCCCAATATGAATCCCCACTGGTCGAAGGAAAAGGAGTCTTTGAGGAACAGGCAGGACCTTTATTGTATTCCATCTTGTTACAGATTTCTGCTGCGCTTCCCTTTTTTCTTTGGGCTGTGTTTGTTCGCGCCTTAGACTGAGGTTGGAACCGTTTTGCGCTTTTCATGTCCAGCAGGCCTTATTGCGTTTTGCTGCGGAACTTTATCACGTTTCAGGGCCTATTCCTTACTTTTGCATTGTTGGGTCAATCAACAGAATTTCTGCTTTATGAGCGCGCACGCGCTGAGATGGACTGCACCCATCTTTCACGCATAGACACTGAGCTTAGATCATAACGCGCTCGTTTATTAGCTCTTTTTTTCTGTTGTAGCTAGTCTGGACGCACTGTAGTTCGCGCAAAACTCAATTCTGCTTTCTGGCCCAAAAGCGCATTAGATTTAGGCAGCGATTGTGTTTTCTTGCTAAATGTTTTATCTCAGCTGCATAGCAATCCCCTTATTTAGGTTCCGCATTTTTTGCCACCTTCTCAGTCTATGTCCCAGCTAAATCAAGGTTTCCTTTTGCTTCGTTGTGCTTTCCGCGCACCGCAAGCGCTACACCGCTTTAATTTACCGCGTCGATAGTTGCACGCGCGCTTTTAATTCTTCTACGATCTTGTACGTAGCGCGAATGTCATGCGGCACTTCTTGCACCCACCTGAGTTAGCTTCGCCTGCGCGTCCCTTGCCGCGGGAGGCTGGACTAATGTCCATTCTGGAGCGAAGCAGCGTAGCGTGTGATTCCTTGTGCCTTAGGAAACGCAGCTTACGTTTGCGCGCGTTTATTTTCATTCAGAGTTGCGCGCTGGTGGGGTTCCGGAAGGCATGTGGCTGTGATGCAAGGACTGTTTTTATCGTACGACGGGTACAGCACAGTAAGCATGGTTCCATTATCTCATCTTTTGACCTCGTAAAGTTGATGTGTTACAGCGTTAGCTTATGGGTCTTGGCGCGTCTTGGTCAAATGGAACCACATTTGCGTAGTCGTGCGTTTCATGGATATGGTCCTTCTGGTCAACTAGCAGCAGCCTTTGCCTACTGTACATAGTTTGATCATATTTAGCACCTCTGTAGTGGTAGTAGTTTTGGTAGTATTTAGTCATTTAGTCATTTTTCATGTTGATATTTACCTGATCACATTCTTGTTTTTGTTATACTTATCTCACTTCATATAATACCCACTTCATGAGTACATTAATCCCTTTTCAGCTTGATACTCTAATCAAGTTCGTGCGCCCAGTATTAGGTTTTAGTATTCATTTTTGCGCACAGTAGCTCTTCCTTTGAGTTGTGGATGTTTTATGCTTCTCGCACGAGACGGGTTATCTTCAGCCTATTTACTTTTGCCGCGCTCTTACTGTGCTACCGATGGATATTTACTCAATTCTTTTTCAATCTATCGTCCAAAAATTTCGGCTAAAGGCATTAACCGCAGATCCCCGGTGCTATCACGTAACCACCTCTCGAACGCCCAAGCCCACTGCTTCTGGGGGGAGTGTCGCGGCTCCGCGATGCGAGCGCTCCTAGAAGTAGGAGGCCGGGAGCACTGGTTGCTGCCGCGCTACACGGCGACGATAACGGCACTTTCTTACGTTCGCCGCAATCGTTGCTGGACCTCTCCTCGCCTTGGCGCGTTGCCAGCCAAAAGGCTATATATAGCGGCGGCGCCTCATTTCAGCGCCTGTCTGCTTTTCTGTCTTTCGTTTTCGATCGATAATCTTTTCGTATGTTTCCATTGTGCTCGTGCCTGGCACTTAGCTCCCGCTCTTGATGTCCCTTTCGCGTTAGCGGTCGAGCGGATAGAAAGTTGATCAGAATTCAAGTGGATTTGGGATTGTTTTAGACGAGCTACTTTTGCAGCTTTTAGGATTTGAGATCTTATAAACCTCGGGAGCGGAGAGGCTGTCGCGCCTGGTATCCGGCGACGCGCGGCGGATCTGTTTTGGTGAAGCCTCGGGAGCATATTTCTTATTTGTGTTTATAGTCGTGCGCATCGGTAGCACGGGATGGGGCAGCTCGTCCCGTGTTGAGCTTTATGTTTAGTAGTTTAGTCCTCAGCAGTAGTAGTAATCTGTCTTTAGTTTAGTGTTCTTTTTGTCTATTTTTAACTGTAGTTTTGTGTCATAAGGATAAAACGTTAGTAATTTAATTGTCTCTTCACGCGCTATGGCAAAATAATAGGCTAGGTCGCGTCGCATGTATTAAGCGGGCGAGCGCTTAGGTAACTCGGGTTAGATCTAGGTGCTTAGAGCCCACCGAGCCGCCACAGAGTGTCTGGAATTTATTGTTTGCACACTCCTTCATTTGCTACCCCTGTGCTATTGAGCTAGTGTGTTCGCTAAGTGCCACCCATCGCAAAACAACAATGAACGGCCTCACTGTTTTCTGTGTCAGAAAAAAATAAATGGATTGAAATTGTGCCGCTCAGGATGATTTACAAGTAGCCAATTCAAAGTTTCTCTCTGTTAATAGAAGATTTTGGCTTTTGCTGCAATGCATGAACAAATTGACTCAGAATGGAAAAGATGGACGGAAATCCATAAAGACAAAAAGCAAAGTTATTATGCTCAGGAAAGCAGAGAGGACGAATGCTAATGTTATAAAATCGTGTGAATTGTGTGCAAGAACTCGTTAACGGTGTTTTTTTTGTGTTTGATGCTTCGCTCAATACTCACTTATCAGTGCTAAGGCTTCAGAAAAATTACGCATTCTCCGAATATGATAATATAGCTTTTCCGAATGTCATCATAACTAACAGAAACAAAAGCTTGTTAGCCACGCATATGCAACTAAACGAAAGCAGTTTATACGTTCATAAGTCGTGGGATAACAGCTTTCAGCTAGTTGTTCCAATAACTGTCAATTTGCATTCTTTGGAATAGGAATTCATAAGTGTTTTTCACCAATCTGGACGACAAAGAGCTTATAAGACTTTGTCAAACGAAGCTTGACTCTAAACCGCGCGGCACCCTGTATCTCCTAGGCTCCACTGTCACTATTTGTTTTTCATCTTTACTAAAATTAGTCTGATGATTGACCTATAAGAACGTTTATCGCACATCTTTGGTGATCTATTCAGCACTGAAGGCTTATGTACTTTAGGCAAGGTTTACAAAAACTTTGTATTGTTGTATTGGGCGGAAAGAGATAATTGTTTCTTAAATTTAGTTGTCAAACATGCTTTCAAACCATAAGAGTATCATGTACCCACCGTGCTTGTTTTTCGCTAAATTCATCCGCACTTTGACTGGGGAAAAACAAATATGCCGCAACTTGATACACTTTAGCACGCGATTATACCTAAACGAGACTCCGCTTTCCAGGCTGTCAACTACAATGCCAATATCAATAGTAAATCCTGCTCAAGTTAACATATTCCAAGCATGCTGTACGATTCTACCATGTGAGTGGTCGCAAAGTCTGTAATCAGTGTATTATATCCTCATATACAATTAGCGATAATAACCATAACAGCATATAGTGGCAAAGCTAAACAAACATTTGCCATGTCGCTGTCTTTCCTGAAGTTTCTGCCATGTGAAAGACTTACATTTACTAACCCTTGCTAGTTGGACAATAGTTGCCAATTTTTAGCTTTCTGTTTGAAATTTTTATCAACGGCATAATGAAGCACTGGATTTTTAATAATTACGCGTTCATGGAAAACGAAAGTGACATTTAGTCTCTCATTAAAAACATTCAAATCTATAGAAGAAAGTTTAAGACCATATTTTCAGAACGCTAAAATTATTCAAAGTAGTCATTGCCAGTTGTCAAAAGCTTGCAGTTTAGAACTATATTATTAGAAGCAGTGAAGAACTGAGGGAGGGTGAGCTTTGAAAATGGTGGCGAAAAAAGTCAAAAGTTGCTCAGGCTGGGTTTACTATCCGTACATATGTTTCAAAACAGTTCCAGAACACGCACAGTTCAAGCGTTGTGCTGAAACTGTTTCGGAATTCAGGAATCAGTATTTATTTATTTATTCATTACATACACTGATGCATAATCTGGCACAGATTGGTGTATCACTCATTACTTACTGAAATGTGCAGGTCGTTCTCCTTCGTCGGAGGGTGAGGAAGACCCAAATGCACCGTATGGACGCACCTACCAGGGCTTGGCTGACCAGCTTAACCTGTAACCGATGAATCCGTTGGGGACCCTGGGCGAGTGGGAAGGGAAATCTCAAGGAAGAGAGTTTACTGGGTCTTCGGATTCCTCGAACGGCTTTTTCAAGCAAAGTCATTGTCAGCAACCTTCAAGGCAATGTCAAATGATAAAGCGAACGCAACAAAGTAGGACACCAATCTTAGTTTTGCTTTCCATAGAGAATCTCTCTTGAGATGAACTTTACAATTTCCAATATGAGCATATAGCGCTAGCTTGCTTTACAGAAGTCTGCAAGTAGTTGTAAGTAATAGATGTTTTGCTTTGAGGTAGGGCCCTGAAAAATTTTCGGAGTGTGCGGCTGACGCAACGTACCTCTATCAAAGAATTTTTTGCCGCTTCTCTTTCTCTTCTCAAGACTTTTTTTTTTGAAGAAGTCGTGGGAACGCCACTGCATAGGAAACACATACGATAAAGCAAAAAAAATGAGCAGTCTTGAACAATGCATGCTGTTTCTTATTTTCGTGTCTCGCTACCTTTTGTACAATTTATACAAGCGGGTAGCATAATAGGCAAAAGCCTTGTAGATATTGATCATGTTGAAATCCGTGTAGGGCAATTTGGAGACCACAACGGTTGCGTACACTGCTCATTTAGGACGACAGAAGGTTCTAAGCCAAATTTAAAGAACCAGGTGTACACCGTAAATCTCTTACATTCTCTTCAAATAGTTGAAAATAATTGACTGATGATTCTTGCCAAATTTAGCCCGCAAGAGACAGGCTCGTGGGAGTCTAGCCTACGGCGATTTGGGTGATTTCGTGCACTCAACTTTATCTGACTTGGAGAAATGTCCGACAAGACAGTAAACCTGAGAAAGTTTTGTTGGCGTCTACTTTTTGATGATCATGACATGTTCAATAGTAGAAGCTATGGACAGATGAAAGTTAATGAATCTGTGAAAGCAGCAATTCATGACCGCAATTATCTAGAAATACATGCTTCAAAAAAGAAAACAAGCTTGTTTTCAAATGCTTTTATCTATTTAGTTGTGACAACACTTCCACCATCAACAACACTTCCACCGTGCCAGTGTCCCTTAGATTTGTACAGCGACAGTCTCTGCCCTATTAATGGACCTTGCAACAAAGATCCTAAGGTAAGCTTTTGTTTTAGCTTCACGTAAATACGAATTCCGATGTTTAATTAATGCAAATTTTTCGCAAAGCGTCTCAAGAATGTTGAGTAATATTCGCAGTTTCAAAAGCTTTGAAGTGATTCACCCGTTTCAAAACTACTGCAAAATCAATCTCTGATTCTTTCGTAAACTTAGAATGGCAAAAATTCTATCAAAGAAATGCTTATGAATATCATGAATTGAGAGAAATGCAACTATGCATTTTGCTAAGTGATCCTTGAGACACGTTAATCGACCTTCGAAGATGGGTTATGGTTTGACACTAATTTTACAAAACAAATGAGCATTCATCGCTTCAGATTAGCAACTTTCGAATATTACGGGTACAGTCTGGGGCGCGAAAAACTGAATTATGATGATTTTTTCCCGGAAAACTTGATGAATCGGAAACAAAAAACAACAGGTAGAAAGAGAAGAAAAAGCTGCGTCGAATGACATCCGAGCTGTTTGCCGGTTGCTGCTCTCTGAGGTTTGAATTGACCAAATATGGAATTTAATAGCATTGAAAAATTAATTGAGCGGTAAGGAAAAGAAGAAAATTGCTCTGTGCCCCAGAAGGTTTGCTCTATCCACCCGTTACTTGCACTTCCTCGGAGAATAGGTATAAAAATTCAGAAAAATAGCCGAGCTTGACTATGGCAAAAACATGAGTCGCAGATTTTGGTAATTTCTTGAGAGCTTATTGAATATTATGCAATGAAATTATCACAATAAAAAGAGGATGAAATGTTGCATCGAATGCTCCCAAGATCTTTTGAAAATCTTGATTCCATGGAATGTGGTGTTGTCTGGAAAAAGCGACATCACTTTGGAACGACCCAATATATTAATCTGTTGTTAAAGTAATGTGTGTTCTTTGCCGCGAAAGAGAATGAAAAAATGTACAAAAATATATCGATGCAGCAAAGAGCTCTAAACTGCTTTCAATGAGCTCAAGAAATTCGATACCTGCGAAACTTTGAAGAAGAGTCTATTTATGAAATCTCAAATTCGGATTTTTGCCCACAGAAATCTAAGAAAAGTCCAAATTGCCTAAAAAAGTCACCTGTCGCATAGCTATTCATTTACACACTTGATGTATACAGAGGGCCTCAAAAGTATGTATACACTGTTTGGTCTTTGATATCTCTTTTCCCAAGGAGTCTTTCGCCTACCCCAAGGCCCACTTTGTATAGCTAGCTTAGACTAAGATTTACAGCATGGAGCGAGTCACCTCTCTTTGGGATTACTAGAAACTTCAAAAAGAGTTGTAAGTTATTAGGGACCCTCTTCCGCCTCAGAAATCAAAACGAACAAACCAATCAGAAAACTTTTATATCAGGTCAGTTCAAGCTGAAAACCAAATGTGATTTTTGCATTTTACCGCAAGTTCCTTCATAACTTATGCCGGATAAACCGCATTAGCTATTTTTACAATAGTCCATAAAATTGTAATTACGCTATTTAAAAAGCTTTGCGAACTCGTAAAAAGTTGAATAATTAAATCAGCGAAAGTGAAAATCCTAGTACACCACTTTTCAGAATTTTTGGAACCTTTTACTAAAACTCTATCAATTCGCAATGATACTGTAAGCAGATCCTACCGTAATCTTAATCTTCAGTGGTGAAGAGCGATAGGTGACTTGCTCATATATCACATCTACAATACCGCTCGTAACTGGTGAAAAAATTGGCGGCAAGCGCCGCGTCGCGCGTCAAACTTAGGCGGAAAAGCGGCAGTTGCCGCCTAACTTTGTCGCGCGCATCTTCCAGTACACAGATGTGCCTAGTTGTTGGATTTAAGTGTTTTTCTTGGAATTTTAGTGTAAATAGATCATTCAGTGTGCTGATTCCAGAGGCTACATACACATTCTGTTGAGCACTGCAGAAATAGGGCAGGTATAGTTTAAGAGCTCATTCCGCATGGATGTGTGAAATTGGGCTTTTCTCGGCGAAGTATGACGGGTCCCAAAATGCAGAAAGACAAAGGGAAATAGCTGGAAATCGCATAAGAAGCAGATATCGCGGGATGCCGCGCGTGCTGTGCAATGTACAATACCACCCACAGAACGGGAATTTCGCGAAATTCCAGAAATTTCGCGATTCCGCAATATCGCAAATTATGCAGCGCCATAACTTTCTTCGGAATGAATATATTCTAAATCCGAAAGCAACATTGTGTTCAGCTCGTCAAGGCGAATCTTTCGACATACGTCATGTCATCTATATCTTGTTTCCAGTTTTCTCAAATTGTTCTGAGGAGGTCCCTTCGCAAGTATGTAACGCGGCGCCTAACCAACATGAAAGCTTTCAGTAAACACCATTCGATAGCGCTCTTCTTGTAGATTATAGTGCGCTAGAAAGCTGCCGCAGACTTCTTTCCAAAAGAGAAAAAACGTTGGTACTGGAAAAATCACTCTTTTCCAGATTCTACTCGCCGTAACTTTCTTTGGAGTGGATATTTTCTGAATCCGAAAAATGCGTTGGCTTAGCTCATCAAGTCAAATCTTTCGGTATGCAGAATGTCCTTGATATCTCGATTTCAGTATTCTCAAAACTTTCTGCGGGCGTCTCTTCGCAAAGGTGTGAAGCAGCGCGTATTGCCCCCAGTAAATTCAGGAAGAAATTTTCGATAGTACTTCTTCTGTAGATTATGGGGCGCTAGAAATTAGCCGCACACTTCTTTCCAAAGGAGTTAGAAGGGCTGGTGAATTCTGAAAAAATTAAGTCGTTCTAAATTTTTCTCAACGTAACTCTAAAATATGAAGCTCTCTTGCTAAGCAGATGTGATTTTCGTAATCAGCAGGTCAGATAACCCTTATGAGCAAGTTTTCAAGATGTTCGAGCAATTTCATTTTTTTCTCGTTTTACGCTCTGAAGCTGGTCGATGGATTTTGGTCAAAATGTTCATGCTCTTAAATTGTGAGATAACTTCTCTTATAGAGGTTTTCGAACACGCTCTTTACGAAAATCAAGGTCTTTGAGGATTACAGGGTCTTTGTTTTGAACTGCGCTTACAGTCCAAATATATATGTGATACACAACCAAAATAACTTTATTGTTACAATAAACACCGCCTACTACTAGCATCCTACTTTCCTTCCATTCCCACTCAACAACTTCTATTACTTCTCATAACTCAGCTGGGACAATACTAGGTACCTACTTCCATCCCCTTTCCGGCGGGCGCTATATATTTCAATAGTAGCCTTACAGTCAGAGACGATGGACATAAAGAAGGGGAAGCTTAGAGGACCGACCCTGTGTCGGGAGCTAAAAGAATGAAAGCGCGAGAGAGCCTCGCTCTTGGCTTTAGGCAGCTTTTATACTCGCCAACGCGCGTCGCGCGCTTGCCGCTAAATCAACGTTCATCATGAACGAGAGTTCATGACACTCCCGACTTCACAATTGTTTTCCACGGCGATTGCAAAAGCCGTTCCTCCGCCCGCCTTTGTTTTTGTAGATTTCCACAAAGATAACAACATTACACAACAACAGTCAAAGTTATTAAACTAAAATAATATAAGTGTTAACAAGAAACTATTGACATGTTTCTACTTATTATATCTGATGGAGTGTAGAGGGCGTCTTGTGTTTGCAATAATGTCTCTTCGGCTCGGCGATGTAGGCACACTGTTCGTTTGGTGTTGTATACTCAGCAGTTGAGGGAAGTAAGCAGACGTTGACGAAGCATCAGTTTGAAGACGATGATTTTTCCCAGTTATATTTCATTTTCTTTCATTTCCGCTTATATTTCTTTCTTTTTTGTTTGTTTTTGTTTGTTTTGTTTTCAGTTTGTTTCAACCATGATTCCATAAAATAGTAATAGGGTACTTATTTTCATGCAAGAATATTTTACGCATTTTATAGGCTTTATCTTAAACTTCAATACCATGACTTCCGAGATACACTATCAAATTATAAATGCTTACAATTACATTCTTTCATTGCAAATGCGAAAATTTCACAAATTATTACAAGCTTTGCAATCAATGATATGAAATGAAGCTTTAGATTACAACCTTACAAGATTACAATAAGTTCAGGAATTTCAATCATCTTTCGACATAGGGAATGTAAAAGGACAAAATGTGGAATGATGTTTTTTAGCTTCATCATCCCTTCCATCTCTTTCACAATAAAAACACAATGATTTTGTTTTGCAAAAAGTAACTAAGTGATTTGCGTGCTTGAGGCACCTTTCACATTTGTTCAAATCATGAACGCGGTGGTACCTGTCTTCCAGTGTTGCATACTTCTTACATTGGGTCGCGAAGTGTTCGCCATAGCACAGCATGCACGGTCCCTGACGTTGAAGTCCACTGGGTCCTGGTGATGGCGACCGCTGTTGCTTTTCCCTTTCTTTCTTCTCTTCCCTTTCCCTTTTCGGGTATGATTCCCTTTTCCCCGTGCTTTCACCGAACCGTTTCCCGTCTGTTTTTTCCTGCCAATAACGGCTTTCGAGACGTTGCAACTGGTTCGTGTGAAATTCTGATGCGTGCTGAAATGAATAAATGTCATTTGTCACATTTTACATGTGCTGTTTACCTTTTTTGAGTTTCTGAATTCCCCATAAGTGGCAATTGGTCTTTTTCGATTCTTAAAAACCACCAATAGACATAGGAATAAAATTCTCCCTCTTCATTTTTCAATTTATTTCACCAAACCCCCGCTTATTTACTTATTTTGATTTACAATTTATTACTCACCGCAATTGTGGCTAATTTTCCTTCCATGCTTTCCAATCTCGCGTTGATTCTCATAAGTTCTGCCCTTATGCCACTAGTGGGCTGGAGGTCTTCCGGTTCTCTTCTTCTTGCAGGGTTCACCAAGACCCTTTCGTTTCCGATGGTTTCAAACTGATCCTCCATTTCTTCGTCGGAGTCGGGTGGCGGTCTCACTGGTTCTGGTTCTTCTGGTGGAGGAGCGTTTTCCTCTCTCTCTTCATTCATCTGCAAAATCTGTTTTCAGCTTTCTGGTCTTTCATTTACTAATTACAAAATCACGCCGACAAAATTCCATGGAGCATGAAAGTTTTTAGCAAAATATTTCCTGAGGGATATGAGTTACTACTATGTACAAGATGAAAATTTCATAAATTCTAAAGTTTCAAATGCAAAATTTCCACAACGATCTGAGGATCTTAAAGGGAAACATAAAAATGAGGCGCAGCATCCTGCGCAGCGCGTGTAGGAAGAAATAAATAATTCGAAGTGGAAGGAATGTGGGCATGAGCATTATCATGTTTAAGCCGTTTTGCTTTTCATGAGAACTCCAACATCGAGGCAGATATGTTGCGGTGATAAGCGTCACGACCGTAACACTGGTAATTACGCACACCGTATAGATGAAATATGTTTTACATATATCGAAGAAATGCATAATGTCGGGCAGGACAAGGGTAAAATCCTCTGCCAATTCTTCTGTTTTGTTCCCTATTTTGAAATATTTCCAAATTGGTTTCATTCCATTTATATAATTTAACGTTCCTTCCAATTCAAAATGCGTTCGATGATTTCCGCATTCGGCCTTGCATTGCTCTTTTACTGTTGCAACATTTGAAAATAGCCGCACTTCATTTTTTGCTCCCTCTGGAGTGCACGAAAGTGTAAATTGTTGCGTTGAACAAAAAACTTGTGCGATTGTGTGTGGAACGTCTGAATAACATGTCAGTTCGGCTACTGCACCCTTGATGCAGTTGTAACATCCTCGTATTGTTGTAAGTATGATATTGCAAGTAAAGTCAGTGTAATGTTGACTAATTTCAGTTACCGTAGCTTTCAACATTATAGCTAGTTCCACAGTTGCCATTTCCGTGTATATCATCGGTTCCTTATTGGTTTGTGATGTTATAACGCCGCCACCTGGTAGAGGTATCGGCATAGTATGTGCTAAATTCATTAGAGCACTTACATTGTTGTGCTTGCAATAGCAGTTCGCAGAGTTTTCAGCTGGATTGCATTTGCATGTATTTTCTATGATACATGTAGAGTCGTTTCTCAAAGGATTCTTATCGCAAGCATAACTGAAAGTTGTAGCTTCAGTGATGAAGGCTGTGTTCTGGCCATCACTTACGAATCTTTTTGACATTATTGTGATCGGTGATGTCATTACCGAAGTAACTTCCACTCTTATACTTCCCAGTTGCTTCGTGGTGTGTGGTTTTACTCCGACATTGTTGAGGTTCATTACTTTGCGATTTCTGCGGGATTCCTCATAGTTTAATCTTACCATTTCCGACCACGTTGGACATTGGAAGATTTTAAAGATTTTTTCGTCTATAGGAACATGATATATACGGTAGAATAAACATCCTGAGGATGGAAATCCACAGGAGCAGCCGATACCCCCGCACGATTCCGTGCAGAAGGTTATCCCCGTATAATTATTCGCAATGTCAAGTTCTTCAACTTTGCTGTCGGGAGTAATACGTGCACATTTGCTTCCTGTACAAGATCCCATGTGGGGGCATCTTTTGCTGTACTGCACTCGTGTTTCTGTGTTACGAGTAAAGTACAATGTTTCTTTCCTGCACTGCATCCACATTCCAGCGAAAGTAAGCTTCAAAATGTGCTGTGTTTCATTACGATGTCGCACGTGTAGGCAAAGTTCTGGTCGGAGCGGCTGAAGTTTAGCTAATACCGTCTTTCGTATCACACAACTATTGTCTCTGTCGTTACATAGAGAAGTCTCCGTTGGTATAATCACTGTTTGTTGACATCCGTATGTGACGTGTACGGTGGCTGCTATGGTCAGAATTTTTACAATCGTGGATGCAGCCCATTTCCTTCGTCTTTCATTTCTTATTTCAACGAGTGGTATAGATTCAGTATCCTCTCTTTTGCATTTCACAAGATTTCTGAGACAGTCTACTATCATGAAGACAAAGCACAGTTTATGTACCATTGCTTTAGTTCCTTTCAATATTTTCTTTGCCACGAATAACGTGACACAGCTAATTACTATCAGCATATAAAGTAAGATTCCTGCTACTCCAATTGCTAGTTTTGGCCAACATTCTGGGTTAGAAATCATAATGCTACAAAAATTGCAGTCTATTTGTTCACAGAATGGACTCGGTGGACAAAGTTTATGCGAGGATACTGTACCACTTGTTGTTAGAGCTTTTACTGCGACGTAGTAAGGGTGTAAGATTACTTCTGGAGAGAACTGTATTGTGATGTTCATGTCGGGTTGTTTAAGTTCAAAACATTGTTCATTTCCACAAACTTGCAACTCTTGAAATGAAAGTTGTGTGCCAATGTTAATTCCTCCCTTTGTGCATTCCATGCGCACGTCTTGGTTGTTCTTTGCGTTCGCATTTGCGCACAATAGGGTTATGATCGCAAGAGTTAGCCATCGATGCCATTTCACGCCTGCGTTCGATATTGTTTCTGCGGCACGGCTAATCGATGTAATGTTTACGTATGTTTTACGCTCTTTTGCGCGGCGTGCCAGAAATGGTCGCTTTCTGTTGGCTGTATGATTTTGTTGTTCTGCGGCATTTACGTCGTCTTGATGTTTAACATCCACCGGCATTGATTTTTCATTCTTTTCTGGGACTCTGTTTTCATACGCTACTTTCTCGTCGTTGTCTATTTCCAATGGAATTAACATATTTACTGATCTCTCCACAACTGATTTTGCGCTTTTAACTTTCACCGATCTGATTTCTCCGTCGTTGTCTTCCATTAATTCGACTACTAGCCCTAAAGGCCACTCTCCTCTTGACTGGGTGTCGTCCATAATAAAAACAACTTCTCCTATTGTTGGTTTTTGACGGGTAAACAATTTCTGCTTTATTCGTTTTTGGTGAAAGTTACGAAGTTCCAAAATATAATGATTAATCCAAAGCTTCCACATGCTGTTGAGGTAGCTTTGTTGTTTGCAGAAATATTCTTCTGCTTCTTCTTTCGTTGATATCCTTGAAATATAATCAGGATCACTTTCTGCTTTCTTTACATGTGGGTCTAACAAAGTTAGATTTGCTTTGGGAATAAGAAAGTCTATTGGTCGTAATATTACTGAATCTTCGATAGTGCTTTTCCCATATATGTGAGCGGTCTCATATTGACCATAGCTTCAGTTTCGGTGACCAGAGTAAGGAAATTTCTTTCATCGATGTTTCTTTTGCTCATAAATTTCCGTAATATATTTTTCATTATGCCTATCATCCGCTCATAAAATCCTCCTTTCCAGGGAGAAAGTGGTGTAACGAATCTCCATTGTACTTTTTCCGTGGTCAGAAATTCCTCGACATTGTTGCAGAAAATTTTCTTTTCGCAATCTTTCAAGATATCATTACTTAATGTAAAGTTAGTACCGTTATCGGATATGATAATTTCTGGTTTTCCTCTCCTCGCAATTAGTCGGCGGATAGCATTGATTGTTTCATTTGCGCTGAGATTGTTTACGATTTCTAAGTGTACCGCACGCGTAGTCATGCATGTTGCGAGCAATACCCATCTCTTACATTGTTGTTTTTCGGAATCGATGATGCGGAACGGTCCCGCCAGATCGACGCCGACATGAGCGAATGGACGAGAGGGTTCGATGCGCAAATGAGGCAACGGAGGGGAGTTTGGATAGAAGTACGGTCTGCCATTCCAACGTTTGCATGTTATACATTTTCTAATAAAGTTCTTGACTATTTGTCGACCTTTTGGGATCCAAAATCGTTGTCTTAGTTCGGCTAAAGTACAATTTACTCCTTGGTGCCCGCACTTGTTGTGGGCTTCCTTTACGAAAAGTGTTGTCATGGGGTGTTTCGGGGGCAAAATGATGGGTTCCCTAATATCCCTCCCCAGATGACAGGTTTCAAATCTTCCCTTACATCTCAGTATTCCTTCATCATCTTTGTAAATGCAAAGATTGTCCCATTTTTTCCTGTACTCCTGAGTGACTTCCTTCTGCATGAATTTGATGAGGATGTTTTCTGAAGTTTTCAAATCTTGTGCATTTAGCTTGCAGAGTGGGCGGGCGTTCGTAATGGTTTTTAACTCAGGAAAAACTTCGTTTAAGCGGGTTTTTCTTGTATTATTGACTTTTACATAGATGTGTACCTTCAAGAATTTTATTACAAGAGCCATTACTCTTCGATACTTTGTGAGCGTAGAAAACGAGTTTTCCTGGAGTATAAATTGCCTTTCATCGCCCTCTTGTTCCATAGGAGTTACAGTATGTTGCGCCAGGTTCAAGATAATGTTCTTAGGTTTTCGTTCATCTTGTATTACATACTCTGGGAAACTTTCCCATTGGACAGTGTTAGCCTCAATAAAAGGTGGCCCTGACCACCATGAGTGCCCTGTTATTTGTTCTTTAGTTAGACCGCGAGTGGCACAGTCTGCGGGATTTGTTTCTGTACTAATGTAGTGCAAATGAACCTTCCTATTATTGCTATGCCATTCCGTTATTGTTCTCCTGATCTCATTGCAACGGTTCCTTACGAATGTTTCTGTTTTTTCACTGGTTTGGACCCAGTTCAAAACGATTTGTGAATCACTATATATGCGTATTACATCGACTTTGCATGAAAGCTGTTTCAATACGAAGTGCGTTAGTCGCGTTCCAATGGAGGGCAAGCGTTAGGCGACAAAACCTGCAAAACGCAAGCAACGTAAATCCCGTAACTCAAAACTATGCACCATTTTTTCATTGGCGTCGGGTAATGTATCGGCCCCGACCCCCACCCCCCTGTTTTTGGCGGAGGAGACGTTTTGCACGGGGAGTTCTTTGGGGTCCAAGAAATGGGTTTGTCGCCTAACGCCCTACACCCCGTTCCAATCAGTAACGCGAGTAACTCTAAGCGTGGAATGGTTATTCTTTTGTTCTTGCTGGTCATAGGAGCGAGTCGTTGTCTTGCCATTAGTAGGCCTGATTGCACTGTGCCGTATCTGTTTAGCGTCCGTATGTATACGGCTGCTGCATAGGATGTTGCTGAAGCATCTACAAATGTATGCAACTCGTAGCTGTCTGTTCTTTGCCCTTGCAAGATATGACGCGGAAGCATTACCCCGCTTCCTTCTACATTCTCACATATTGTCTTCCATTTCGTTTCGTCATCTGGGGAGAGTGGGTCATCCCACTCATAGCGCGTTTTCCATAATGATTGCAGGAAAACTTTCGCTTGTAGCAGCAATGGTATTAAGTATCCCAAGGGATCAAATGTAGAATGTATGGCTTGCAAGACTTTCCTTTTGGTTGGCTCTTCTTCATACCGTAATTTGCACCTTATGGAGAAGGTATCGTTTTGCGGATTCCATGGTATTCCCAGAATTTTTACGTTCTTTCCCTTGTATAGATCTTGTTGGTCGATCAACCTGTTGCATGCTGCGTCATTAGTCATAAACTGTCTGAGATTCATGGAAATATTTTTGAAAACTGCTTTACAAAGTTGATACTTTCTCACGAGCGATTCAGAATCATCAGCTGTTAGTAAGACGTTATCCACATAGAGATTTTCCTCTAGTTCTTCATAAGTTTTTGTGTCATCTTGTTTTTGTCTACTTATTCCATATTTTATGGACATAGCGAGTAAGAAGGGAGATGCATTGATTCCAAATGGCAGGCGGCAGAATCTTAGGATTTTCAAATTACTGGTTGTGAGTGGTTTGTTTACGTCTTTCAGCCACAGAAATCTCACGGAATCCCTTTCCGATTCTTGTAGGTATATCATGTGAAACGCCTTTTCAACATCCGCTATCATTACTTTAGACCCCAAGCGTGACCGCAGCAGTATTCCACATAAGTTAGGTAGAATAAGTGGGCCTTGATGAATAACATCATTGAGGCTTAGTTCGCCTTTTCTTTTAGATGAAGCATCCAGTACGATACGCGTCTTCGTTGTCGCACTTTCCATTTTGATCACGGCTTGGTGCGGTATGTAGTAACAGGGATTTTCCTTTTTGGGTGGTCTTACCACCTCTTCCACGAAGTTCTTCGTGAGTTGGTCGTCCAGAATCTTGCAGTATTCTTTCCAACATTGAGGGTTTTTATCCTTCATTTTCAAAAGCTGATGCAATCTGCTTACTGCTAGGGTGTAATTGTCTGCCAAATTGCATTTATTACTTTTCCAAGGAAAGCAGACGAAGATTTTGTTGTTCTCAAACCTTACATTTGCATAGAATTCCTCTATTATCCGTTGATTTTCTTCGTTTCTGTCTGCAAATTCTTCTATGCCTACTCCTTGTAACTTCCATAAATCGCTATAGTCCATATTATCTTTCTCTATTATATTATCATCTGTACTTACTGTGTACGTCCTCAGCACGTGTTCGTAGTATCTTTCGTTGTCTTCGTGATTCCACGATTGCGACCGCCCTGATATTACGGGACCAAAGAATGTAGACGTTACGAACAGACCTGAAGGTAGACGTATCACAGGGGCGTGCATTTTGATGACTATATTGAAATAGTCTATGCCGATTAAAATTTGAGGAATCACTGTTGTGGGTACTTCCTTGTACTCCGCAAAGTATTCCTTCAGCGTCGCGAAGTCTTCCCGTGAGATTTCCTCCAAGTGAAGTTTCGGCAATATTTTTTCGTGAGTGAGGAAGTCAACATCAATTCCTTCTCCCTCATTATTGAATAGGGTTACACTGGCGTGCCCTACTCTTTTGTTTTCTGCTCGGCCTCCAAAGGTCGTTACCGTTACCTCCATTTCTGTCTCTATGTCAATCTGCATCCTTTTCAATACAGACTTGCATATAAATGATTGGTTTGCTGCTGAGTCTAGCAGCGCATATATTACCTCAAAGTTACTGTTAGCGTTGTTGAATATACGCGTAGGCACAATCATAAGTCGAGCATGTTCACTAATTTCCACTCTAGACATCACGGAGTTTTCTTCTGGTTGTTTTACAGAGAGGTTGATCGTATAGCAATTTCTGGTATTATTTCTGTTCTGTCTAGGTGGAGTTGGCGATCTGGAGAACCTTACTCTGGGCACTCTCGCCTTAGGTGATGTAAGTCTGGGTTTCGGAGTTAAATTTGTTCCGCTTTCCTGCCTGGTCTCAGTTATGCGTTTAGGTGATTTATGTCTATCACTTTGACGCATCATTCCATGTCTTACTTCTTCGTTTCGTACCCATGGTCTCGGAGAGCTCTTTCCTGGGCTTTTCGTCCTGCGGCTCCAGTTTCTGTTCGTGCCAATTTCATTCTTCGGCGTTTTACAAATTATAACACTATGAAATCCATGGCAAGTGGAGCAATTAGGTCTGCGGCAGTCTTTCGTATGATGTTTCTTGCTGAAACATTTCCAACAGGCTTTTAGAGATTTTAATCTTTCAATTTTCTCCTCTGGAGTACGATATATGGGGCATGACTGGAATAGGTGATTACGGCCACATCCTGTACATGCTATGGCAGTTCGAAGTTGGAATATCGTGAGTTCATCACCCTTTTCCACTGGTTGTTTACGCCCTTCCAAATGCTCCTGACGCCTAACTATGGCAGAAATGTTGTTCAGAAGGTCTTCCATGTTCCAGTCATTTCCTGAATCAAACTCTTTACGCATCACTTCATCCTGAACGGCCTTACTAAACTTTTCCAAAACCATGCTTATCATATTCGTTGTGTCTACTACTTCCCCTTTTTTACGCAGGGTTGCAATGATGGCTTGTACATCGTTTAAGTTGTTCCTGAGTGATCTAGGTTCGTCTCTGCATTGTTTCATTGCTTTAAGCTGACCTGTCATCATCATGGTTACTCTTTTGGGATCCTGGAATTGCGTTTTCAATTGCTGAATGGCTTTATCGTAGGATTCGCTTGTCCCGGGGAACATTCTGAGTGCTCTTGCTGCATCCCCCTTGCAGCAGTTCAGCAGAATCGAAAACTTCTCAATGTTGGAATAAGGTTGTTTGTCCACTATTTCTTCAAAGATTTCCCAAAAGGAGTCAAATTCACTTGCCTTTCCATCAAACTCCGGGATTTTTATTCCACCCAAGAGGTGTCTACCAAAGGTGAATGTCGATTCAGATCTCATTTCGTTCCTATGGACCTCATTTTCCCTTTCGTGTTTTACTTCCATGAGTTCAAATTTCAGTGATGCTTCCTGGCATTCTATCTCAACTAATCTGTTTTCCAGTTTACCGTATAATTCTGTTGCAAGTTGGAGCAGGTCATCTCCTTTCTTGTCCTCCCAGTAAGCACTGAACTCTATTTCAATCGATGTTCCTATTTCCTTTCTTTCACTGTCGGTCAGCATTTCATAGACTTTCGAAGTACAGTCTTCGTACGTCTTCCATACCCTTTCTTTTTGCTCTTCCAGACGCTTACACAAGTTTTTCAAAACTATAGATTTCAGAAGCAGAAAATGTTGGAGCTCTTTGGCTTCCGTTGGGAATTGCCAGGGCTCTTGGTATTCCTCTGCTTCTTTCAGTGAAGTTGATAATGTGTTAAGCAGGCGGGAAAGCTTTTGCTTTACCGTCTTTAAGTTTAGCGCAGTACTCATGACGTTCGTCGAGTGCATGAACAGCGTATTGCATGCGCGTGTATATATACACGTTTCAGTGAGATAACATTGGAATGTACGTTTGATATCTTTCTCATAGAGGCTTCTTAATGTTGTTAGATCCTTTATCAAAGAATTTCTCACGTGAGTCATAAATGCCTCCTATGTTTTTCCTCCCATGGCGCCGATCTCATTAGAAATCCCTATCAGAAACAAATTCAAATATTAGAACAATGTATTAGAGCTTCTGCTTGCTTTCTGTTATCTTTTCAAGAATGCCACACTGGCCACATGTTTTCAAACAAAACCGCGGTTATTCGTGCAGGGCGGAGGAACCCTGGGTTTTCTTCGAGTTTCCGTCTCTAGGGGGTTTTCGGCCTACCCAGGCCTGGTTTTCTACAGGTTTTCCTTCCATCGGTTTCTTATCTAAGGGCAACCGCTCCCTGGTTTTCTACGAGTTGTCCTTCTCTCGGTATTTTTTAATAGGGCTACCGTTCCCCGGTTTCTACGAGTTTTCCTTCTCCAAAGGTTTGGCCTTGCCTCTTTCAAATAATTATGAGTAAGACGCGCGTTGCTTATATTTACTGAAGAACATCAAAGTTTGCAAATTGTATTGAGAGCGCTAAGGAGAGAAGAAATGAAGGAGCAAAGAATAAAGAAAGATAAAACAGAAGTGAGTCAATGCGAATTAGTGCTGTGCCAAGGTGATCAGGCTTGACGCAACACCGTAATTGAAGAGACTTACCTCAGAAACTTAGATCTCCTTGACTCTGTCGTTTGTAATGCTCTAGTGGGTCCTTCTAGAGCAACTTTCACAAATATTTTTTGCAGTAGTTTTATGCGTTCCTTTACCACGCTTTTCAATGCCGGCCTTTACCAGTTCGGCCGATGCACCATGTTTTGAACTGCGCTTACAGTCCAAATATATATGTGATACACAACCAAAATAACTTTATTGTTACAATAAACACCGCCTACTACTAGCATCCTACTTTCCTTCCATTCCCACTCAACAACTTCTATTACTTCTCATAACTCAGCTGGGACAATACTAGGTACCTACTTCCATCCCCTTTCCGGCGGGCGCTATATATTTCAATAGTAGCCTTACAGTCAGAGACGATGGACATAAAGAAGGGGAAGCTTAGAGGACCGACCCTGTGTCGGGAGCTAAAAGAATGAAAGCGCGAGAGAGCCTCGCTCTTGGCTTTAGGCAGCTTTTATACTCGCCAACGCGCGTCGCGCGCTTGCCGCTAAATCAACGTTCATCATGAACGAGAGTTCATGACAGTCTTTTTGGTGAGATACGGTGAGGTGACTGTAACTGCATCACGAAAGTGAGTAAATTTTGCCCGCGCTTCTGGCGTATCTGTCAGCAACCTTGCCCGCTTGCTTTTTTCAGTCAAAGTTACTACGAACGTGCTCTCGAATGGTGCGTGCCTCAGGCTCCACTCTACAGAAATCGCCGAGTTACGAGCCTATGAAAACACGTCCTCATGAATTTTGCCCAAAATGTAAAGATCGCATATTTCGTCGAAATTCCACCTTGAGTGCTTGTATGACACTCGCATTGCGGATATTGTGTTCGCTTCGCTCAAACTCCCACTGTATTGAATATGGTACTTGCGTATGCTTCAACTGCTCAGTTGAATATCAAAGCTATTTCGGTGGAACTCAAACTACGAGATCTAACACAATAAGACCCATTAAGGACGTGAAAAGATTCTGATCAGCGTGTTGTACAAGCGCTCATGGTGGAATTTCGAAGAAATATGCGATCTTTACATTTCGGGCAAAATTCATTCAAATTCAATTCGAGGACGTGTTTTCATAGGCGATTTTTATAGACTGGAGCCTGAGGCATGCACCATTCGAGAGCACAGTTCCTAGTAACTTTGACTGAAAAAAGCAAGCAGACAAGGTTGCTGACAGATACGCGAGAAGTGCGGGCAAAATTACGCACTTTCGTGATGCAGTCACAGTCACCTCACCGTATCTCACGAAAAATACCCTGTAATCTTCAAAGACCTTGGTTTTCGTAAAGAGCGTGTTCGAAAACCTCTATAAGCGAAGTTATCTCACAATTTAAGAGCATGAACATTTTGACCAAAATCCATCGACTAGCTTCAGAGCGTAAAACGAGAAAAAAATGAAATTGCTCGAACATCTTGAAAACTTGCTCATAAGGGTTATCTGACCTGCTGATTACGAAAATCACATCTGCTTAGCAAGAGAGCTTCATATTTTAGAGTTACGTAAAGAAACATTTAGAACGACCTGATTTTTCCAGAATTCACCAGCCCTTCTAACTCCTTTGGAAAGAAGTGTGCGGCTAATTTCTAGCGCCCCATAATCTACAGAAGAAGTACTATCGAAAATTTCTTCCTGAATTTACTGGGGGCAATACGCGCTGCTTCACACCTTTGCGAAGAGACGCCCGCAGAAAGTTTTGAGAATACTGAAATCGAGATATCAAGGACATTCTGCATACCGAAAGATTTGCCTTGATGAGCTGAGCACAATGCATTTTCCAGATTCAGAACTATCCACTCCAAAGAAAGTTAGGCGAGAATCTGAAAAGGAGTGATTTTTTTCAGAATTTACCAACGCTTTTTTCTCTTTTGGAAAAAAGTCTGCGGCAGCTTTCTAGCGCACTATAATGTACAAGAGGAGCACTATCGAATGGTACTTACTGGAAGCTTTTATGTTGGATAGGCGCTGCGCTACATACTTGCAAAGGGACCTCAGAAAAAATTGAAAAAAACTGGAAACAAGATATAGATGACATGACGTATGCCAAAAGATTCGCCTTCTTTCGGATTTAGAACATATTTATTCCGAAGGAAGTTATGGGCTGCATAATTTGCGATATTCCGAAATCGCGAAAATTCTGGAATTTCGCGAAATTCCCGTTCTGTGGGTGGTATTGTATATTGCGCAGCACGCGCGGCATTCCACGATATGTGCTTCTCATGCGATTTCCAATCATTTCCCTTTGTCTTCCTGCATTTTGGGACCCGTCATACTTCGCCGAGAAAAGCCCAGTTTCACACATATCCATGCAGAATGAGCTCTTAAACTATACCTGCCCTATTTCTGCAATGTTCAACACAATGTGTATGTAGCCTATATAGAATTCATAAATTTTGAGTCAAAATAAGATCTTTTTTTTAAATAAAAAGTTAGGCGTTGCGCGACAAAGTTAGGCGACAAATGCCGCTTTTCCGCCGACTTTTATCGCGCGACGCGGCGTTTGTCACCTAACGCGGCGGCGCCGCGTAAGTTAAGTGCCGCCGCCATTTTTTTTGCAAATTACGGGTGGTATTGTATTAGGTCGTTCCGAAAGTAATGTCGCATTTTTCAAATGAACGCCACGTTTCGCGGAACTAAGATTTTCAAGAGCTTTTGAGATCAGTCGATGCAGCATTTCGTCCTCTCTCTAATGGTTGTAATTTCATTGCATTAAATTCAATGAGCTCTTAAAAAACTACCAAAACCTGCGACTCATGCTTTTTGTCATGGTCAAATTCGGCTATTTTTCTACATTTTCGTACAGATTCCCCGAAGATGTACAAATAACAGATAAATAGAGCAAATCCTATAGGCCACAAAACAATTTTTTTTCTTTTCCTTAGTTTGTTTCTTAGAGTTTGTAGTATCAATTTTTTAGTGCTATCAAATTCCATATTTGGTCAACTCAAACCTCACAGAACAACAACCGGCAAGCAACCCGGGTGTCGCTCGACTTTTTCTCCTCTTTTTACCAGTTGTTTTTGGTTTCCGATTCATAAAGTTTGCCGGGAAATCATCATAATTCAGGTTTTCCAGGGCGCTCCAGGCTGTACCCGAAATGTTCGAAAGTTGCTAATCTGAAGCGGTAAACGCTCATTTGCTTTGCAAAGTTAGTGTTGAACCATAATCCATCTTTGTAAGTTTCAGAATCCGAAAGTTTATTGGTGTTTGATGCATATGTGTTTGAGACAAGCCTGCAAAAATTCGGTGACTTCATTGAGAAATTTCTACAAAAATTATGACGAAATACGGAAAGCAGAAAAAAGCGGTACCGTTTCCTATAGGGTTTGCTCTATCCATCCCTTACTTGGACTCCTTCTGGGAGTTATTACAAAAGGTTAGAAAAATTGTGAAAATTGACCTTCCCAAAAAGGGATCAGCACCTCAGCAAAGGGACCTCCTCAAAAAAATTTGAGAAAACTGCAAACAAGATATAGATGACATGACGTATGTTGAAAGATTCGCCTTGACGAGCTGAACACAATGCTGCTTTCGGATTTAGAATAAATTTTGAATCAAGATAAGGTCTTTTTTCTAAAAAAGTTAGGCATCGCGCGACAAAGTTAGGCGGCAAGTGCCGCTTTTCCGCCTAACTTCGTCGCGCGATGCGACGCTTGCCGCTTAACCGCCGCGTGAGTTAGGTGCCGCCGCCAATTTTACAATTTACGAGCGATAGTGTAAGTTGAAGCCAGTTTTACAAAATGATACCTGATGATGGGCAAAATACTCTTTGGAAAAAGAGATATCAAACAGTGTGTACTACTTTGAGACACCCTGCATTTTCCACGCAGGAAATTGGAAGTATAAAAATTTGCATGCACAAATCTAATGGTGAAATTCCGACGTAATATTCTATACTACAACCTTTTAAATATACAGGGTGTCCCAAAATAATGTGCACACTGTTTGATTTTGAATAACTCTCTTATTATGAGGTCTTTCGAGAAGCGGTAAGCGCCATTTTGTAGAGCTGGCTTCAACTTGGATTTAAGTATAGAGCGAATCACCGACCGCCCTTCATTACTGTAGGATTACGCTAAAAACTTGGAACATATGGTGTCACTGTGGAAAAAGCTGCCGTTTCAAAAATTTTTAAAAAGATGTGAAAACTTGTGTAATAGAGTTTTTAGGGGCGCTGAGTTCCCAACTATTCTCGAGATTGCAAAGCTTTGTAAACGGTGTAACCGCGCTTTTTAGGAACAGTGAGAAAATGGCCGCTACTGCTTACCTCGCATAACTCTTCAGTGAAGCATCAAAATAAGTTGGGAACTCTACAGTTAGAATCAGCAACTCTAATTGGTCTAGCGTAAAAGTTTTCAGGCTGTCTTGATTCCTTTCTGAGGCAAAATATGGCTTTTCATGGCCCAAAACCCTCTTTCAAGTTTCTACCGTAACCCTACAGTAATGAAGAGCGGTCGGTGATTCGCTCTATACTTAAATCCAAGTTGAAGCCAGCTCTACAAAATGGCGCTTACCGCTTCTCGTAAGAAAAACAAACAGTGTGCACATTATTTTGGAACACGCTGTATAAAGTGATTTTTTGGCCTTCCACAGACAGTAGTCAAAAAAATACAGAATTAGATTAAAACAATTTAGAAAACGCTCTCAAATTTTGTAAGCTTAATTTTGATTTCAAGTTGCAAGAAAATAGGGCAAAATTGATACTTGATGTGGACAGTATATGCGTGACGAAACTGGAGGTTTGCGACCTTTTGTATGGGTAGCCTTCAAACTTTTCGTGGATTGAACTTTTTGCTAGTGTTGGAATGCCATCTTATAAAGGTTGCTTTGCTCCATCAAATAATATGTTTCTTACATCTTTATATCTTCATTTACCTCTGCAATATAGTTCAATACTTTTGCTAGTAACAAAGTACGCATTGTGAAACTCCTCAGATGGAGAATACAGACCCCATCCTCCTCTTTAGGTCTACGCCCACCTCTACAGCGGCTGCAAGAAATAAAGGAATTGATGGAGGCGATGGATGTCAAGCATGACTGTTTTTTTCGTCAGCTTGATCTTTTAAGTCGCGCTAACTCTCAGCACCCCATGTGTCAATATCAATCGATAGCGAGATGTAATCAATGATTGCCGTCTCGCCGCGAATAACCGGTTCTGGAAGTGAAGCTATTTACTTAGAATTATTATGCAGGCAGACAGACTAAATACCAAGATAAACGTTTACTGAGCTTCATGTATAAAACGTGATTCTCTAAAGGAAAAACTGCCAATAATAATTGTGCCATACCTAATTTGTAGAATTATCCTCAACAATTTCACTATCTCGTAAAACTTGCCAAAGTCAGCCCCTTCTTAGAATGAAAAAGGCTTCACAATTTTTTAGAAACTTTCGTTGGAGGTTATTCGACCATAGTTTTCTTTTGAAGTATTTCGAAGTTTAAGCCTGTGCTTTTTCCACAGTCAATAAAAACAAATCATTGTTACCGCAGAAAACGTCTACCTCGGCTTCCAGATCAACTGCACTTACATGTCTTTCTACTGCAGAAGTGGAAAAGAATTTCGGAAATAAGTTATACTGCTTTTCATACAGACTCTCAACACTCACGAATGCTACTTTCTGCTACTGTCAAAAAAATTTTCAAAAAATTTTGGGCCAGGTAGACTTATTGTATTTAAATTACATTGAATCACAGGATTTTCAAGGCAATCGTATGTGGCTCTCCTTCAATGTGTTTGACCAACCTAACTCATCCGCCGTTATCATGACAATTTAGTCTACTTTAAGGCAGTTACATATGGTCCTCTGCCACTGTGTCCAGTTACCATAAACTGCGAACAAACGGACTACCTACTATTTCAATTCTCTGATGGAACCTACATAACTAACAGTGAGCTACATGGGACAAAGCATGACATAGCAGACTATAAAAGCGATTCAAAATGTGAGGACAGTAAGGAGTCAGGTGGTAAGACGTCAGTGACTTTGCCCGGGGCACGTAATCGGTGTTTATTCGGTACATTTTAGTATGCTCGCTAGAAATTCAAATGCGTTATGTGAAGGGTGTAGGCCTACGTGTGGGATTAATTTTGGCTTGGGGAAGAATGACGAAGTGGTATGAGGCGCCGCTATGACAATCCTAGACCAAGCTTCGATCCCACCTCTAGGCCCACAGCCCTCTACATTCAGGGACGGGTAATCTGGTACCAGAGTAGTCCGGGAAGATCAAAGCACTGACTTGGTGATTGCCCCCGCAAGCATGGCTATTTCGCGTTCAAATTCCTCTTTGATTGTGAAGTAGAGTGCATTCAACAAATGTCCACAGAGAACTGATTACCCGAATCTCTATCATTTATCCCTTATCCTTTTGACGCAGCCTACTGCAAATCACCTTGAAGGTGCCAACATACAGACGGAAAAGATTATTTGTCTAACACAGCATCAAGAGTGCTTCGAGGACATTACCACATATTCTTCACAAAAAGTGTCACAAGGGTAATTCAGGCTTTGCTGATGCGATCTTGTGCATATATTATGGTTCAACAGTAAAAAAAACCTTAAGTAAAAGCCTTCAGAACCTTACATTGAACGCGCATTATCAATGCGCCGTTTGAAGTTGTATCTGTTGGCAATCAGTCAGAAGGCTTACAGAACGCTTTTTGTTGCCGCATTTCCAAAAAGAATGTTCTGCTATTCGAATATAAGAGAAGGAAACTAATGTAATGAGCGGATGAAGTCCTTTACTTTGTGGGTAGCTGGTCTCATATCATAGGTGTCTGAGACAAAAGCGCAAAAACCGCTTCATTTCAAATCATTTTGAGTATTAAAGACTTTGATAATTTTCAGAAAATCAGAAGCTTGCTGTTTTCCTTTTTGATTCAAAGGTCTCAGCTTCAAGAATGCCCATTCAACACAAATTTTGCACAGTTCAGTGAGGTTAAAAATTATCAAATCGATTTTATGCTTTGTTTCCGAAAGTTTCAGATTATCATTAGCTTGATTGAAAAACACACAGAACTTTAGTAATCTTTTCTCGTATTCACACTCTCAATTCTATATCTTGCTGACTCACGGCATGAAATTGCAGAATTGTCTTGGTACAGTTGTTCAAGATGTTTAACTACATGGAATAGACAAAAATGCCTTATGTAACATCCACTATAAAAGTGTCGACACTTTTATATTCGATGTAACATAGGGCATTTGTCCTCTATTCTATGCAGTTGAAAATCTGTACCAAATTTTTTCCAATTTCATGCCGTGAGTCAGCAAAACACTATTGATTTCTTGCCGTAAGCCAAAATGATCTATTGCTCTTTTCAAAAAGTCTGGTCTAACCATTTCTGAAGTTGAAAAAAATTTGAAAGCTGAAAAGAACAGCAAAGTTACCAAAATTTTGCAAGCTTACTCGACTTGTTTTTTCATTTTCTGTTCAAGAATTCATGCTGTTTTTTTTTACAAGAAGTTACACTTGGCTTAATATAATCTTCGAAAATGTTCGCTCCACGTGAGTTGCTATCCTTTCGAAAGCTGCTTTCTCGAGCTTCCATATATGTTTTATTCATGTTCAAAGCTTTGTGTTGATAAAGATCTGTGCGCTTTCAGTAAGAGTGCGTAACTTTCATCAGCTCGCGGATATCCAGTGCGTCAATGGCGAATGGCGTTATTATGGCCAGGCAAAATTTGACCAAGTATTGCGTCACGTCGTCTGCTATTCCGTCGCAATTCCCGTAGGACCAGTTTAGGTGCATATGGCACCTTGAAGGATTTATGAACGATTATTCCGGTTTTTGGCTCACAATCCTTTGTTAGACTTGTAGTATCAATGCTCGTTGAAATTATAAAAGATGGTCAGCAGTGTTCTACACAGACCCGCACAGTCATCATCGATAGACACGATTTCATCAGACGAGCTAGTCATGCTTATCTCAGCTCTATACATACATTTATTCATCCTCAGCGGTCATATACATTTAGTACCGTGATGATTCATTCTATGGCTTGAGTTGGGCGATTTCAACTTCGATCGTCTTCGATGACAAGAATAATCTTGCTCGTGCCAACCAGTGCATTCGTGACGTTGCGCTGTCCCTGACTTCTCGACCAAGTAGACGCAGTGGACCAGCCACGGTTTCTTCCACCTTGTCTTCTTGGTCCTACCCTTGGTGTATGGTATAGGTCAGAGCTGCCGGCCGTTTGCGGGAAGGAGGAGGAGAGAAGTAAGCGCTACTCAATTGATCTTTGCTCGCCGAGCATTGCTCGATATTTGATAAAGGAATCCGCAAACAACTTGATGTTAATTGTTTTGAGAACAGAGTTTGGGCAAATTCATGGTTTCTACAACTTATTGTTAGTTGTTTTGAGGACATAGTTCGGGCAAATTCATGATTTCTTACTCAACCACAGCCCAGGTACAAATTTCGAAAAATTTGAACTGCAGCTCTTATCGTTTTCCTTCGCTGATCAATCACCCTTAAGCCTCAACAAGCAGCGCTGTAAGTTGCACTACGCTAGCGCGCTTTGACTTGAGTTGATTTTTCATTTACGAATGAATCATGCACGTTGTCCTAATAAGGTCTCACCTGAGAGGCTCACTCAGCCATTACGAAAAAAACAATGGAGATTGAAGCCTCCCACTTTGATTTGTGGAAAGGCTGAGGAATAAAATCACATACGTATCTCTGTAGCTAACAAGGAAATGGTCAGATATTGAAGTGGGCAATCCAAATCAGCAGCATACCTTTAGATGCTGCATAGAACGCTGACTTCGTATCTGTATTCCATATGTGCTTAGCGTCTACGTGGGCGAAGTTATGAGCCGTTAAAGGCTGTTTTTGCTAGCAAGTTGTACTACATGCAAAGCGCATGGACGGAGCATGTTCGATTCAATGCTGGGCCAAAACATGCAGCTAGGTTACTCAATATTCTTAAAGGTTGAAGGTAGGCTGAATGTGCAACACTGTGCGCAATTTCGCGCTTTCTTTGTAGGACCTTTTCGCAACAAAAGTGCTCACAACTTCGTCACCAAAGGCCCTAAGCAGATACGGAGTACAGATTTGAAATTAGAGTTAAGTGCTCATCGAACGGTAGGCGATTTGCTTGGATTAGCCCACTTCAATTATTGGTCATTCCTTTGTAAGCTTTGGACGGCTTTTCATGGACTTTATTTGCAAATCAAAAAAAGAACTGAGAGGACACAGGAGTGCGTACAACAGTCTTGGGAGTTTGGAGGGGACGCAGGAGTTCCTAGCACCTCCATTCGCACAGCATTCACACTCCAGAAGGCTCCTCGCACCTTCGCGCAGAGGTCAAGGTCCGCCCATCGCTCCACTCCTTCACTGGCCTCATTCGGAGCGTGCGGCTTGCGAGAAAGCATAGATATGCAAGTGCAAAAATTCGTGAAAAATTCAAACTCAAAATTACGAACTTTGAAGTGCAATCTTTGTAAGATGTTCCTCTGAGGATAGCCAACGAAAAGTTGACTTGGGGTGACTATCTTGGAGAGCAAAACTCACTTCTTTTCGAACAAGCCTTGAATCTAGGTTTAGATTCTGATGAGCTATCGAATTAATTCTGATTCATGCGAGAACTATTGCATCTATCTAATAAGTATAGTAAACTGGGTAAAATCGGTTTGGTATGCAGATAGATTCTACAAAATTTCAGCTGATAATTAGTCCTACATTTTTTTGCAAAAGTAGCACCAAACTTCTCCGAAAAAGGATCTTTCTTATGGTTCATTATTATGGACACCCAAAATAAACTAATACAATTTCAGTAACTTCTGGTGTTGAGCAGTGTTGAGCACTCATTCAAATTCTATAAAAAAATCGTTATATGATAGGAAGCTCAATTTTTCGGCTATAACATACTTCTTACTCCAAAACAGGTCAAAATCGCATTGAGTCATATTTCGCATATCCCATCGGAGATTCTGTGATTCTTATTTTGATTTGCATCAAATTTGAGCTATATGAAGTTGTAGCCAAAACTAGAAAAACCGGAAAAAGCCGAAAGTTCATCAAAAAGCATTTGGGACACCTGCACCTTGCTCAATAGATATACTTTCAACTAATCGTACACATGTACACTTATCACAGTTAAAAGTCGAGTAACGGAATCTTCCTTACTCTTCCAACAATGCGATGCCCACACCATCGCCTCATGGTCAAAAGATCTCAGTAGTAAATTTGTCGTTCCTATATTGCAAAGGCAAACGTCCCAAGTGATAGATCTCATAAACTCTAGTCTGTCATTTTCCGTCGTTCATTATTCATCCATAAAGTATCCTCCAAACCTGCACAACTCGTAATGAGATTAGCCAGTGGGCGGGGCGAATGGGCGGAGCCGTCTGAAAAGTGCGAGGACGCCTGGAGGTGCTAAGTACCCCTGCAAGGAAAGGCGGCGAGGCTTTGGGAACTCCTGGGCCGCCGCCTGGAAGTTTCACTTGCTGTAAACAATCTTAGGACAGCGATAATACCTGAACAATTATATACTACTGCCTTCCTCTCTTGTCACCCGAATTTATCTAGTTATAACCAAATTAATTCTGCAGAAATAATTTAGGCAACATTATTTTACGATTAAAGCGTTAATACAAATTTGGCTCATTCTTTTGTGCAGCGAAAAATGAGAAGCAGAAAAGAACTTGCTTCTTTCCGCCTCAAAACATTGGAAAAAAACCAAATAAATCTATCTTATCAATTTTGCTTAAGAATCACTCTCTACAAGAGGCAGCACATACCTTGACTTCCAGGAAATTAGATCACATCGATTATATTATCGACACCTCAAATTATTGCCTATTTCTGTTTCAGTGAACTAGTTTGCAACAACGACCATTCGAGTAGAAGATATTTTTTTTCTTTCGATCCCGCACACTTGTGGCCGTAAACATTAGGTATAGAAATAGTGTTCCGAGGTGAAATTAACCTTTGGGAGATGTTCGTGGTTAATAGGAAAATGTAATGATAATCCATCTCAAGGTAGATTTAATTTCATGGCTTGTTGATAACTGCACCACTGATCTCACCGAAATTTATTTATTTTTTTATTTTCATCATTAAGCGCTCCCCCTGACCGATATTATTGAAATTATGTTCGTTTAATATAGCAAGGTTTTTCAATTTTCAACATGCTATATTTTTGAACTTTTGTTCTAACAACACTCCCTATGAAAGACGTTTTGATTTTTGTAAGAATTCTTTCGAGAAAAGGCAAAGAATACGTCATCAGAGTGAGTTTTTTGCTAAAATATCCTGATATTTACTTCATAGAATTTTATTGAATTCATAATGTTGCTGTACCACAAACGAACAAGTTTCTCGTGAGTACTGGCAATGAGATATGGCAGGTGGCATCATCTATCACTATAATTAGCTCGCTAATTCAGCTATTTTTGGTATTCCGCTACTCATGCAAGAGTAAAAGTATTATGGGGCGCTATTCCAGTATCCGGGCCCAAAATTTTTTTTGTCGTGGATTCTGTCGAAACTTGGCCCAGGGGGGGGGTTATTCGACCCGCTGATGCCGAATATCATATTGCTTTGTACGGTAGCGTCATTTTCTCGGGTTACGGTGGGTATACGGTAGGGGGTCAAAATCTCAAAATTCGCTGTAACTTCGCACAGAGGGGTTATTCGACATGCCGATTAGAAATTTCACACTTCCTCTGCACGAAAACGTCCCCCTGTATGGTTACGGTAGGTTTACGGTAGGGGTCAAAATCACAAATCGGCAAATGTATCTTTCCCCTTTGCTTTGCTTAGGCAAAAGCCGCAGCAGGGTGTGTAGCGCGCGGCGGTGGTCGTGTGTGCAAAGCTTCACGATTGTCCTAATCGCTATACACCGGCTTCAGGCAAAACTATTTTTTACACCCGTTACAGTGTAGCTACCGTAACTCGAGAAAATGACGCCATGGTTCAAATCCAATGTGATATTTGGCATCAGCTGGCCGAATAACCCCTCTTGGCCAAGTCAGCAAAATCCGTGATTTTGGCCCCCTACCGTACACCCAACGTAACCTTACAGGGAGGCGATTTCTTGCGGAGAAAATATGATATTCGTGATCAGCATATCAAATAACCCCCTGGGCCAAGTTTCAGCGAATTCCGTGATTTTGACCCCCTACCGTATACCCTCCGTAACCCGAGAAAATGACGCTACCGTACAAAACCAATATGATATTCGACATCAGCGGGCCGAATAACCCCCCTGGGCCAAGTTTCGACAGAATCCACGCCAAAAAAATTTTGGGGTCCTGATACTGGAATAGCGCCGTATATGGCTTAGCGAACAATGCTGAGAGGAGAGGAGCAGAGGTGCAACAGAAGTTTTACATATGGAGCTTTGTGTATGTTTACTTCGGCTCATGCTCTGTGAACCATCAAGTCTAAATGAGAATATTATTCAGAGCGAAATTCAGTCGCGTATATTTTTGGCAACAGCTTTACTCTAGCAAAGCACATCAAAAGAAGCAGTGAGTCACGTTGCCTGCTTTGTGAGGACATTCTTCACATTCCGATGGATTGTGTAAGGAGCAATACTTCACAAACCACGGTTCATTCCAATTTATGTTTTCGTTGTGTTCTTGTCGTAACAGAAAGTTTGCTGACGTTTTACTTTGAAGAAAGAATCGAATTTTTTACACTCTTGCAGTGTCACAAGGGTAGATGCCCTCAATGAAAATTTTCAACTCAAGATGCCCGCCAATTGAAAACTTTACTGGCATTGCATTGTTTCCAGCACAGGCTAGTCGATGTATGGTAAATGTAGTGTCTTGCGATGTTGGGGTTGGGTGGCAAAAGTTGCTCGTGAAGCTACGCCTAAAATACAGAATCACCTAGGCAATGTTGTTC